CCTGGGCAACTTGGCGAGACCTCATCTCTGCAATAAACCAAAAAATTAGCCAGGCGTGGTAGCGCGCGCCTATAGTTCCAGCTACTTGGAAGGCTGAGGAGGAAGGATGGTCTGAGCCCAGCAGGTCAAGGCTGCAGTGACCGCGAGCGTGCCAGTGCACTCCTGCCTGGGCGACAGAGTGACTCCAAAAAAAAAAGGTGCATGAGGTTGCAGAAATCAGGAGACTAGAGTTTTAGGAAGCAGGTATATGTTGGTAATGTTGAATGCAGTTGTTTTTTGGTTATAAAAGGATGAAAAAACTGTTCATTAATACTCTCAATGAGAAGGTTATTGCTTAGTGTGTTTTGTTTATTAGAGCTGTTGTGTAGAATGTTAGCAGGAGAAGCCAGATTGCTTGGTTTAGTAGTCACTGGAAAGTGAGGAAAGGGAAACAGGGTAGACTGCTCTTAAGTAGAACATAAGACGTAAGAGGTTGGTTAACAGTTTGAGGGGGGAGCTAGGGTCAAAGGTGACTCCCTCTGCAGAGCTTGATCTTGAGTGTGTTTATTATCTGAGGAGAAGGATAGAATGGATGTAAGAGTACAGTGGCAGGTGTTGGTGTTTGCCTTTCAATGGAAGGAGATTGGACAAAAGAAGGTTAGGATGGGTGCGGGGCAGTGGCCTGAGGGCCTGTTCTCTAAGTAATGAATGAGTCCTGGTGGTTTCTTGAAAGGAGAAATGGAGAATAATAGCACACCTTGAAATCGTCACTGAGAGCAAAGGAGAGAGTTGACAAGGACAAGTGCAATGATGGAGTAGAGAAGAACACAGGTGTTAGAGCAATGCTTAAAACCAGAGTTGAAGGTGGAGGTGGTGTGCTTGTGATTTTGTGATTTTCTTCAGTTGTGCTCAGCTCCTTGGCCTACGGAGTTGTGAAGGAAGAGTGTGGCATTGATTCAGTATTATTGTTTTGAGTTTCATAGAGGAGTCGTTTTACATTAAGTCTTAACAGAGTAAGGAGCTGTTCCGCCTGCTGCAGAAGACTGGCAAGCCCACTTCTGTGAGAAACAAGAGCAGGCTTAAAGGCACAGAGGCACGCTGGGTTCTAGTGATTTGGGAGGCTTGGGAGGGAGCATGAAGCAGTGGGCACTGAGGCCCGAAAGGTCGTAGGATCCACACTTGGGAGCGTTTTGGTTCCATTCTAAGGAGTTTGGATTTTATTTCAGATATAATGAGGAGTCACTGCCTTTTTTCTTCTTCCTGTTTTTAAGCCAGGACGTGACAAGACTGTTTGCGTGTTTTAGAAAGATAATTCTGGAGAACCAGGGAAAAGATACCACTCAAAGGATGCTTGAGTGAAACTAGAGAGAGACCGAGGAGGGGAAGTGACTGCAGTTAAGCAGCGCAGTGAGAATGGCGTGGTTGGACTGCGGGCACTTCACAACATCCCTCGTGTATGCCGTGATCTTGCCTGTTTTGACTTGAATTCTTCTTATTCAGTGTCTTACCCTGGTGACAGTTTAATCTTCCACAAGTTAAGTTCCGTTTTACACCCTCCCTGTCCTCAAGATGACACTCCTTAGTGTGGCCTTCAAGGTCCACTGCTGCGTGGTTCTCTCCTCATTCTCCCGCTTTCCCTTCAGTCCTCAGTGCTGCCAAAACCGACTCCCGGTTATTCCCTGAATGAAGTTCTCCATCTTCCCGCTTTGACCTTTGCTCTGTGTGCTCCCTTTAGTCTAGTTTGGATCTTTTTCCGCTCCTTAATCTATTGATTTTAATGTAGTCAGCATTCATTTAGAGTTGTCCATGTGTTTGTTTATTTATTTTAGGTATACATATATATATGTATATGTATATATTTTTGAGTTGGAGTCTCACTCTGTCGCCCAGGCTGGAGGGCAGGGGAACGCTCATGGCCACCCCAACGTCGACCTGCTGGGTTCCGGTTTTCCTTCTGCGTCAGCCATCCAAGTAGCCAGAACTACAGGCATGTGCTACCATACCCAGCTGACTTTTTGGTTTATTGTAGAGATGGGTTCTCCCCAAGTTGCCCAGGCCATTCTCGAACCTGTGGGCTCCCAAAGTGCTGGGATTACAGGCTTAAAAGTTTATATTTTTTACATGTTGCTTTTTCAGATCTGCATGTCCTTTTTGTCTCCCCCCCGCCAAAATTCCTAATTTTGTCTGTTTTCTCCTTCAGTATAGAAAGCATAGTTATATTAAATTATGTGACTGATAAAAGGGACGCTGTGTGTGTGTTTCTATTGTTTATTGTTTCTTTTTCATATATGTGCCACATTATTTTTAAATACATGCCAGATGTTATCTTTGAAAATTTATCTGAAGAAATAATTTGAGGCCTACGATGGTATACATCCTCTTGAAGCAGATAAGAACACACCAGAGCAACCCAGGATCATATGAACTCATTTTCAGGCCTTAAGCTCTGTGCTCTGATTCCCATCTCTCCCGGGGCTCTGTCGCTTTTGGGGTCCTGATGCCCCCGGGCAGTTTCTCAAGCCCTTTCCTCCCTAGGAGTGGCCCTGTACCTTTCTTGTCCCCCTTGCTCCATCAGGCTCGAAGGGCCGCTCCATTTCAGGACTGCTTTTGTTTTGTGAAATGTCTCAGGGAGAGTGGATCCTCCTTGGAATGTCTCTCTCCTGGATCTTGGATTGAATCTTGCTGATTTGTTTTTAATGCCTTCGTGCAAATGTTCAGTTTTTCTAGTTCTTTTCAGCAGGAGGCTTAATCTGAATTACCTAGAATTGCTCTTTGGACTTGATTTAGATTCTTCTGTTTTTCAGGGCATAAGTGTTTCCATGAAACTTACCTTCTAAAATTGAAGTAATATTTCCCTCTCTTGTACTCTATCCTCAGGGAGTTTAGGTCTAGTAGAACTAGCAAAACATTTAATCTTACAACTTAAATGTGAAGTGTAAAGTGGTACATGCTCTTGAAGTAAAAACAAAAGAGTATAAAGGTGTATTTTACAGAGCTCAGTGCCTTGCATATATTAGTTGTTTAATAAGTGTTGGACTGTCTCTTCTCATAATTTTATTTGCAGTCAGCCTATATCACTTATACCATTATATTTGCAGCAAGTTTCTTGTAGGCAATGGGTTATGCTTTGTAATCTACTATTTTATATATATATATATATATATACACACACACACACACACACACACATTTTTTTTTTTTTTTTAAGAAAACAGGATTTATTGAGAGGACAGAAAAGCTCCCACAGTGGGAGGGGACCTGAAGGGGTTGCACAACAATATATTTTAACTCACATATTGAGGTTATTTACATTTAATGGGACTTCTGATATGTTAGGCCTCAAGTATGCTATTTAATCTTCTTGTTACTTTTCTTTTTTCTGTTTACTTCTTTTCAGTGCTTTACTGTGGGCTTTTAAAACATTTTTAGGATAAAATTTTGATTTATCTATAGCGCTTTTAAATGCACTTCATTGTGTAACTTTTTAGTGATTCTAGGATTCATACTCTGTATATAACTTATTATACCATACAAACACCATTCAAAGAAAACAATAGTAACTGTATTAATATCAGATAAAGTAGACTTTAATGTAAAGAAAATTATCAAAGACAGAGAGGAGGATTATATAACGATAAACGGGACATACCACCAAGACACAGTAATCCTAAATATGTATGGTCAAACAGTAGATCTACAAAGTAAGAAAGAAAAACAGAACAAAAGGGACAAATAGACAAATACATAATTATGATTGGAAATGTTATTACTACTCTTTCCACAATTTATAGAACAATTAGACAGAAAATCATCAAGTATAGAGTAACTCAATATCATTGACCAGTGATATCCAATCAATCAATAACCAGAGAAATTCACCCAACAATAGCAAAATGTACATTATTTTCAGGTGCTCAAGGTACATGTACAAAAATAGGTCATATCCTGGACTATAAAAATCTCAAAATTTTAAAAGAATTAAAAATATTTAGATTGTGTTCCATGACCACAAATAAATTGATCTAAAAACCCATGGCAGAAAGATAACAAGAAAATCTTCCAAAAACTGGAAAATGAAGTATTGCACTTACAGATATTTCATATGCATATCAAAGAGAGACTCACAAAAGAAAAAGGAAAATAAGTGTTCCAGTGAGTGAAACAGGATCTTTTCTTGGGGAGGGCAGTCACAAGGACAGCCTACACTTTGGGACCCCATCTACTGCATCAGAACTGCTAGGCAAGAGAGCTGTAATGAGTAACTGCCTTTATAAATGAAAATGAGAGATTAGAAATGAAGCTGGTCCAGCTTTACCTCCGAGAGAGTTAATTGGGGCCAATTTTAGTTGGTAGCTGTCTTACTGTACTAAAAGTAATGTTCAGACACCTAGGTTTTATTGCTGGTTCTAAAGCAACCTAAATGGATGAAAAAGTGAGTTGCTGAGATAACTGAAAAGCTCATGTGAGTTAATGCATCACACATGCCCCGGATGATGCCACGTTTTTATATCTAGTGTTCAATATACATTCTTTTTTGTTCCTAATGTAGAAAGAATTTCAGCTGGAAAGTGAATTTGCCCTAAGATTAACGAAAATCTTGTGTTTTGCTTTTTGCAAGTAGGTTAATGGAATAGTTTAAACATGTTTTGCTTTTAAATGTGAAACTTGGGTTATTACATTTATTCTCAGTTTTGAGCAGTTGCTTATGTTTTGGGGAGTGGAGCTCGTGCTATGCCATAAAACTTCTGATAATCTACTTCCCTCCAACTTTTAGGATTTCGGTGGTTTAGCCTGTTGATGATTTTTTTTTTTTGAGTCGGAGTCTCACTCTGTCGTCCAGACTGGAGTGCAGTGGCCGCTCCCGGCCACCGCAGCCTCTACCTGCTGGGCTCCGGCGATCCTTCCGCCTCAGCCTTCTGAGTAGCTGGAACTACGGGTGTGTGCTACCACGCCCGGGTCATTTTTGATTTAATGTAGAGATGAAGTCTCGCCAAGTTGCCCAGGCGGGTCTCAAACCCACGGGCTCAGGCAATCCACTCACCTCGGCCTCCCAAGGCGCAGGATTACAGGCTGAGCCACCGAGCCTAGCAATGATTTTTAACAGTATATTCAGAAGCAGCAAACTTTGGTGTTTCATCTTGGTTGTTGGATGTTTTAAATGTAAAGCTGATTTTATGGTTTTAATATAGAACAAGCAATAATTATGCAAGACCAAGCAACTTAATCTATAACTTCATATCTCTCTCAGGTTTCAGGCTTACTTGACTTCTTGAGCCATTACTGGACTCAGGGACCGTATTGGGGTTGTCGTCATTTTGATTTCCTTACTAGTAGCTTAGGTTCTGTGCTTCTTTTCTTTACAGGCCTTGTAACCTCATGAGGTAGCTATGATTTCTATTTTACAGATAAGGGAACTGAGAGTTGAAGGGGATCAGTTTCTTGTAGAAAACAACTTTGGTAGTATTTGGAATATCTGAAAATCAAATCGTGCTGTTTGACTACCAAGTCTCATGATGTCTCCTATTTAAATTTGTTTTACCAGTGTTGCAAAAATAATCTTTGGGCTGCATTCACTGATTTACTGATAGTCTATGATAGTTCTTGCTCTGTCTGTATGATTGGACTGAATTCAGCCCCTTCTAATACTAAGAATTTTTTAAAAAATGGTTTGTTGCATAGACCAAAGAAAACTAAAAATTGCAGTCGTTGCTCAAACCTCTCATTCTTTGTGACCTTGGAGTGGGGAACTTCCAGGTCTGGGTATATTTTCCCTTTTGAAGACTGTGGCTTTCAGTGAACTTGGTGTTCAAGGCTCCTTCTGGCTGGGAGAAAAGGGGATTATAGGCACCTAGCAGTGGAGACACTTACCTCTTATTAGGTTGCCTCCTGCATAAAACACAGAGAAGTGGAATTCTACTTGCTTCATGTTACTTAAAGAGATAATGTTAGTGGTACAAGTTATAAACTTTGTGTAGGCATTTTGTGTTTATCAGTACAAGGTAATTGCTTAAAAGAATATATATACACACTGTCTAAACAGATTTCAACTTTGCATGCATAATACTTTTAAAGTATCTGTTTATTAGTTCTCTTTCTAGTTCTGTAACTTTATCTAGAAAGAAGAGGTTATCTTATACTTGTGCTTAATGTATCCCCAGTGATACGCTCTAGTTATTTATTTCTTTTCTAAACATCCTTGTATCATGTTTGATTATGTATTTTTATTGATTGACTTTCAGATTTACTAACCTGTAGTTTCTGTAATCTGGGTCCCCCCCCCCCCATCCCCTTTTCAAAATCAGGGCATTTTCTGATTAAGTCTTCGGCAATTTTTCCTTTGTCTAAAAGTTTTCAGAAATTACATAACCATGGTTATAACTTGAATTTTTTCAGAACCCTGACTTGTAGTTATCTGATATTGAAACTTAAATGCCATCAGCCCACTCTTTATTTTATTTTTTTTTGAGTTTGGAGTCTCACTGTGTCACCCAGACTGTAGTGCAGTGGCCGCTCCCGGCCACCGCAACCTCGACCTACTGGGCACCGGCGATCCTTCCGCCTCAGCCTTCCAAGTAGCCGGAATTACAGGCATGCACTACCACGCCCAGCTGATTTTTTGATTTATTGTAGAGATGAGTTCTCGCTGCCCAAGCGGGTCTCAAACCTCCGGGCTCAGGCAATCCACTCACCTCAGCCTCCCAAAGGCGCGGGATTACAGGCTGAGCCACCGAGCCCGGCTTATTTTTTAATTGTATATACCTGTCTTTCTTAATAGACGTTGAGTTCCCTGTGTTAAAATGTATTCTCTCAATCTTATTTTCAATGTAGGAAATAAAGTCTTTGCTTTCACTTTTTGGAGGTCAGTTCACCAGCACACAGGAAACTTATGGAAAGGTAAGTTGAATTTTCATTCGACCATATGTAGAATACTTATAAATAGAGTCTTCAGTTTGAAGACAACTGCCTGTCTTATATTTATATTTGTGTGGTTGCTGCTTATGTCTGCTTCTAGAATCAATAGAATAAAAGAAAATTTGGGGGCAAAATAAAAGGGAAATTATGGGCAAAAATGTGGTTTTGGAAAGTAATTTGGATTTTCTTCTAGTGTTTATTAGTTTTTAATTTTTAAATCAAGTTATACTGTGATTGATGCCTGTTCTTTTATTGAAAAAAGGGCTGTCTTTAGTTAATGAATTAGAATTTTAGAATTTACCTGAATTTGGGGCTTATATTGGGAATAATTTTAAGATTTGAAATTGTGCATAGTGTGAGGTTGTGAATTGAGCTATGTATTTTGTATTTGTAGCTTATAAGTGTATTATAGATGTATTATAGATGTACTATAGATCTAGCTTATAAGATTGTGAATTTTTGAGCTATGTATTTTGTATTTGTAGCTTAGAAATGTATTATAGATGTTTGGAAAATAGAAAAAGTCATTTACAATTCTTCCTCCTTGACGTGACTGATAGTTTGGGGATGTTCCCTCCCAGTCTTTTTTCATTTGCTTTTTCCCTGTTTTACTCCTTACCACGAACTTCTGCAGTCTGTCTTTTCCACTTGATAGTGTTGATTTAGGCACTTGTTATTACTTAGTCTTTATCTGTGACGTAGCATATTTCTTCCCATTGACTACCTCCACTATCATTCATATTACCATTTCATTTCATCGGGTTGCTTTTAGATTTTTACCTAATAAAAATAATACTAAGATGGCAATCTTTTTTTCTGTTTGGGTTCCTTTGAATTTTTCTGTTGAATAGTGTAAACATTGGAAGAAGAAAGACTAGGTGTGACAGGAATGATTTCTTGCAAAAGATGAAATTAGGTTGAAAGTCCCCTGGTGTTAAATTTTTATTCCTGAGTGACTTTCACTTATTGAGGGGAGGAGGTAAGGAAGGGGAGTGTGGATATAGTTGGGTGTGGGTGATGAACTGAGGTCAGGATCCTGTTGGGTTTTGCTGTGCTCTGGCAAGAGGTTCCTGGGTGAAGTTCCCCAGCGCCTCTAATCTTAGGTTTGAAACAGTGGATTGGGAAAATCCCCCGATGTACCTGGAGCTTTCTTTCCCCAAGACAAATGATAACATTATAAAATTAATAATGATAACTTAACGTGCCCAGTGATCTTCCATCATAGTGGTTTTGGAGGCCCCTCTCCCAGGCTTCAGATGGCCACAACTGCCTAGAAAAAGAGGACTAATTTAGCAGCTAAGAAATACATTACTTAGAAGTTAAACATAAACTATAAGGAATGACTAGCAATGCTAAATTTTGAGGTCAGGCTTTGGGGTATAATATGCATTAATTCCCTAAGTCAGACTAAATAAAAAGGCAAATACAAAATTAACCTTAACTTTAAATGTATTTTCAGGTATTTTTGTTTATAGGGCCATTTATTAACGTGTTCTTACACTGAACTACATTGTCCTAATTTGCTCTTTACTACTGGAGTGATGGTTATTTTATTGTTATTTTCCCTTTATTTTAACGATGTGGAGTCCAAGTCAGGATTAGGTACAGAAGTTGTCTACGTGCAGGTGAAGTTTGGGCCTCCCACTGGCCCTCGCTTCCCCCGGTTCAGGACCAGGTACCCTCAGTGACGTTATGTGCCTGCCCCCCCCCCCCCCGC